TTCTTAGACTGATTATTTAAAAGACAAATAAAAACTTTTACATTCTCAGACTGATACTCCAAGAAGACTCAGTTTACTAGTGTTCCCTTTTCTCCACATCCTTGCCAATGCTTGTTATCTTTTGTTGTTATTTTATTGTTGCAATCCTAACAGGTGTGAGGTGCTATCTCATTATGGATTTAATTTGCATTTCCTTAATTAGAAAAGTTTAGCATCTTTTTATACATGCATGGGTCACTGGTATGTCTTCTTTTGAGAAATGTATATTCAGGTCTCTTGCCCATATTTAAATTGTTTTTTTTTTTATTGCTGTTTGGTTTTTTTAGGTGGTTTCTTTATTTGTTTCTCTTGTTATTGGGGTGTATGAGTTCCTTACTTTTTTGTTATTAACACCTTATCACATGTATGGTTTGAAAATATAGTTTCTATTGTATCAGTTGTCTCTTCACTCTGTTGACTATGTCCTTTGCTGTGCAGAAGCTTTCTAGTTTGATGTAATTCCATTTATCTGTTTTTTTTCTATTGTCTGTGCATTTGGGGTCATATTCTAAAAATTATTGCCAAAAACACTGCCATGGAGCTGTTCCCCTAGTAATTATTCTAGTAGTTTTAATGTTTCAGGTCTTACATTTAAGTCTTTGTGCCATTTTGAGTTGATTTTTTTATATGATGTGAAAAGAGGGTCTAATTTCATTCTTCTGCATGTGTGTATCCAGTTTTCCTCCTTTTTATTATAGAGACTAATTTTCCTGTGTTCTTGTCATCTCTGCCCAAAATGAATTGATCATAACAGTAAGAATTTATTTCTGAGCTCTCTATTTTGTTGCATTTTTCTGTGTCTGCTTTTATAAAAGTGCTATGCTGTTCTAATTACTATAGCTTTGTAGTAGTTTTGAAATCAAGTAGTGTGATACTTTGTTCTTTTTGCTCGAGATACGTTTTCATGCTTGAGGTCTTCTGTGGTTCCATATAAATCTTAGGACTGTTTTTACTACTTATGTGAAAAATGTCATTGGAATTTTGACAGGTGTTTCACTAAATCTGTAGATTGCTTTGGGTGCTATGGACATTTTAACAATATTAACTCCCCTAATCCATGAACACTAAATATTTTTCCATTTATTTGTGTCTTCTATTTCATCAATGTTTTATAGTTTTCAATGTATAGATATTTCACCTTCTTCATTAGAATTATTTCCAAGTATTTATTTTTTGTAGCTGTTGTGAATGAAATTTTCTTGGTTTTGGGGAGGGAGATAGTTTGATGATAGTGTATATAAATGCTACTATTTTTGCATATTGATTTTGTGCTCTACAACTTTACAGAATTCATTTAGAGTTTTCTATACGTGAGATTTTGTCATCTGAAAACAGAGACCATTTAACTTCTTCCTTTCCAATTTGGATGTATTTCATTTCTTTCTCTTGCTTAATCACTATGGGTAAGACTTACAGTACTATGTTAAATAGAAGTAGTGAGAGTGGGCATTCTTGTCTTCTTGCTGGTGTTCCAGGAAAAGCTTACAATTTCTCACCATTAAGTATGATGTTAGCAATGGGTTTGTCATACATGGCATTTATTTTGGTGACGTACGCTCTTTCTGTAATTTGTTGAGAGTTTTGTGAAGAATGTTAAATTTTGTCAAATGCCTTTTCTTTTCTGCATCTATTGAGATTATCATATGGTTTTTGTACTGTTTCAGTATATTGATTCATCCTTGAATCCCAGGAATAAACCTATGGGCAGGCCTGCCCTATGGCCATGGCCACTGCCTAAGAAGTAGCTAGCTAGGCCCCCTCTGCCACCTTGATTACCAGCTTCACCCACTGCCTGAGAAGCAGCTGGCAGGGTGCCCCCTCTGTAACATGATATAACAGTTTTGTGTACTGCCAGAGAAGTGGCTGTCTTAGTGCCCTCTCTGTATCCTGCCTAGTGGCCTCACACTCAACCCAATCAAAGCCCCAAGACACATTTGTAGGTGAAAGTCCTTCCTCATGCAAGCCCCCTACAAGATCCAAAAGGTGATGGTTCCACCAGATACATAGACATCAATGCAGGGAAACAAGGGGAAAAAACAAAGAAACATGAAAGACCACTAAAGAAATACAGTAATATTCAAATAATAGATCCCAAAGATTCAGAAATTCATGACCTTCTGGAAAAGGAATTCAAATTAATGATGTTAAGGAAACTCACAGAGATGCAAGAGAATATAGATAAACAATTCAGTGAAATCAGTAAAATAATTCATGATCTAAATGATAAATTAACAAAGAGATAGATATACAAAAAATCAAACTGAAATTTTGGAATTGAAGAATATATTGAATGAAATAAGAAAACATATACAAGAGTCTCAAAAAACAGACTATATCATGTGGAGAAAGAATTTCTGATCTTGAAGACAAGTGATTTAAAATAACTTGGGAAGACAAAAAAAGAAAGTAAAAAATTTTAAAACAACAAAGCCTACAAGGTTTATGGGATGCTATCAAGAAAATAAATATTTGAATTATGAGCATTCTAGGGGAGAACAAAATAAAAAAGATACTGAAAATATATTTATGAAATAATTGCTGACAACCTCCCTAGTCTTGGGAAAGATATGAATATCCAAATCCAGGAAGTTAAAAAGTCCCCAAATAGATTGAACCCAAAAAGGCCCTCTCTAAGACACATTGTAGCAAAACTGTCAAAAGTTGAAAACAAAGAGAGAATTCTAAAAACACTAAGAGAATAGCATCAAGTCTCTTATGAGGGAATTCCCATTAGACTAACAAGAGGCAGAACTTCTTAGCAGAAACCCTACAGCCTAGGAGAGAATGGGAGGAAATATTAAAAGTACTAAAAGGAAAAAACAGCCACTCAAAAATACTATGCCAATGAAGCTATCTTTCAAGAATGAAGGAGAAATAGTCTTTCTCAGACAAACAAAAATTGATGGAATTCATCACCACCAGTCTAGCCATACAAGAAATGCTTGGAAGAGTCCTTTACCTAGAAGAGAAAGAACAGTAACAATCATCATGAAAATACTCCAAAATACAAAACTTACTGGTAGAATAGATGCACAAATTAGAAATAGAAAAGAATCAAATCTCATCTGTACAGAAAACCACTAAACCACAAAGAAAAACAATAGGGGAGAAAGAAACATAGGACACACAAAACAATCAGAAAAAAACCAACACAATGACAAGACCTCACATATTAGTAATGACTTTGAGTGTAAACAGATTAAATGTCCCAATTAAAATGCATAGACTGGCTGAATGTATTTTTAAAATGACCCTTCCATATGTGGCCTACAAGAAATACACCTTACCTACAAAGACATACATAAACTGATAGTGAAGGGATGGGAAAGATGTTCCACCCAAATGAAAAACAAAAGCAAGGATGAGTATCTATACCAATATCAGATAAAGCAGACTGTCAATCAAAACTTGTACTAAGAGATGAGGAACGGGATTACATAATGATAAAGTGATCAATACAGCAAGGGGATATAACAATTATAAATATTTATGCACCCAACACTGGAGCAACCAGATATATAAAACAAATATTAACAGGTCTAAAGAATGAGATAGATGTCAATACCATAATTGCTGGGAAATTTAACACCCCACTGTCTGAATTGGACAGATTATGGAGACAAGATATCAACAAAGAAACATCATATTTAAATTACTCCACAGGTCTAAAGAATGAGATAGATGTCAATACCATAAATGCTGGGAAATTTAACACCCCACTGACTGAATTGGACAGATTATGGAGACAAGATATCAACAAAGAAACATCATATTTAAATTACTCCATAAACCAGATGGAGTTAACAGACATTTACAGAACACAACAGCTGCAGAATACACATTTTTCTTTTCATCACATGGAACAATCTCCTGGATTGGCCATGTTCTGGGCCACAAAATTAGTCTCAACAAGTTCAAAAAGACTGAAATCGCAGCAAGTATCTAACCTGAAATAATGGAATAAAATTAGAAATCAATAACAAGAAGAGCTTTCAAAACCTTACAAATGCATGGAAATTAAACAACATGCTCCTAAATGACCACTGGGTCAAAGAACAGATTAAAAAGATGATCAAAAAAAAAATTCTTGAAACAACTGAGGACAGAAACAAAACCTACTAATGCCTATGGGCTATAGCCAAGGCAGTATCAAGAGGAAAATTTATAGTAATAAATGCTTACATCAAAAAAAATAGAAAGATTTTAAATAAATGACCTAATGGTGTACCTCAAGGAACAAGAAAAGTGAGAACAAACCAAACCCAAAATAAGCATCATAAAAGAAATAATAAAAATCCAAGTAGAAATATATGAAATTTAGATTAAAACTTCAATTAAAAAGTACAATCAAGTGAAAAGTTTTGTGTTTTTTGAAGATGAAATAATTTACAAAACATTAGCCAGACTAAGAAAAAATAAGATGTAGATACAGATATAAATGTAATGAATTAAAACAGTAGAAATTTTAAAGTATGTGAAGGAACCAATACGTGTATTCAACCAATAAATGTATATAGTCTTAAGATATCTTAAGATTTGTTCAACTGGTTTTCCAGCAGGCCACTAACCCTGAAATCAATGGTGATTCTGATAAAAAATGAGATTAGACTTCTTAGTGAATAAAGCCTTTTATTCAGAAACTGCATTTTTTGATCCATTTTAATATACTACAATTATACAGTCCTCCTGTGCTTCTACAGATAGCCACAGTACAAAGACAGAAAAAAAGATGTAAGAATTAACATTTGAAAATTGATCAGAATAAGATCTGTCTTCAGCGGTATGATGGAACTCCTCAGTCACCATCAACTAAAAACAGCTTCTTTGATGTAAAATCGGGTACCCAGCAGACAAAAATCAATCCTTACTTTGGTGTGAAGTTAAAGGATAGGGAGGATTTCAACTGGAATTGTACTTGGAGTGGTCGTTTCAAAGTCAAGGAGGATCTATTGTGATGATTATCAGCAAGAGGAATAGGATTTTCTGTAGCAAAGTGGTCGGTAGCTACAGGATCCAGAGCCATATCCACAGCCATAGCGGGAGCCATATCCACAGCCTTGTCCATATTTAGATCCGTATCCATAGTTGGAGCCACAGCCAGAGCCATATCCACAGCCAGAGCCACCGCCACCGCAAGAGCCATATCCACAGCCATAACGGGAGCCATATCCACATTTAGAGCCATATCCACAGCCAGAGCCACAGCCAGATCTATTTCCATAGCCAGAGCTGCAGCCAGAGCCATAGCCGCAGCCAGAGCCATAGCCACAGCCAGAGCCATAGCCACAGCCAGAGCCGTATCCACAGCCAGAGCTGCAGCCAGATCCAGAGCCACAACCAGAGCCGTATCCACAACCCCCACAGGAGTTTCCATAGTAGTTGCCACCCATGGTGTCAGGAGGTAAGGTTTCAGTTTAGGAATAGGAGGATATTACTGAAGTGTGAGTGTCATCTACTCTTCCAGGATCTTTATATACTTACAGGCATAAACAGGTCATCCCTCACTTTGGCTTTGTTCTCTCGTTTTATAACCACTTGCCTAAAATGAGCTCATTCTGTGTACAGTCATTTTGTTGGAGATTCATAATTTACTTACTGCTTCCCTAGGAATTTTCTCAAACCTTAAAAGAAAATAAAAATACATTTTCTAAAGACCCAAGCTTAGACAACCATAATTTTATCTTTCATAATTGCATTTTATGACCGTGACATACACATCACCAAAATATATTTGACCTGTGAAGATGTGTTTGTTTAGCACATTCATCTTTCAAGGTCTTAGAAATCATCTCTTAAATGAGTAGTTCTACTCAAAACTATTAATATTGTCACCAGTAGCAGCAGAAGCAGCATATTAGTTTCTTTTTTTCCTTTAATACTTTGTCTTTTTCCATCATAATTATTTTAAATTACTTTTGATGGAGTTTGGACAATAATTGAGTATTTCAACATGTTACATCCACTCCCTGAAACATTCTTCTTCTCTGTGAAAGAAAGCTTGCCTATCTCCTCCTTTTCCAGGCTGATCAGGACCTTCTCCTTCTTCTTTGGGGCAAAAATATTTGTTAAACTCCTGAAAGTCAGTTACATAAGGAGATTTGTCATTTCTTATTTATACGAAAAAGACAAACTTTTTCAAAATTACATCCACTCCCTGAAACATTCTTCTTCTCTCTGAAAGAAAGCTTGCCTATCTCCTCCTTTTCCAGGCTGATCAGGACCTTCTCCTTCTTCTTTGGGGCAAAAATATTTGTTAAACTCCTGAAGGTCAGTTACATAAGGAGATTTGTCATTTCTTATTTATACGAAAAAGACAAACTTTTTCAAAAGTTTCCATTTAGCCTGAGGAAGATTCCCTGAATCAACAATTTCTTTGTTTTAGTCCAAGCATGACATTAAAGTTGCAAGTTATCAAAATTTATCTTAAAATGTTATAAGCATATATAATTTGTAAAGCATAATTATTGTTTAAAAGTTCATTTATAAACTTTTATCTCACTCATGTCTTATTTAATTCATTTGTTTTTTAAATTAATTTATTTTTGATTATACATATTTATGGAGTACAAAGTTGACTATCAGTATTTGTGATTTTTTTTTATTAATTATGCCTATTCATGGGATACAAAGCTGACCACCAGCACCTATGCCCAAGATGTGATAATCGGATCCATACTATCAGCATGCCCATTACCACAAATTGTGATTATTCCCCATTTCCCCCACCCAATTATTCCCCATCCTCCCTTTCTCTCCTCCCTCCCACAACCCTAGGTATGTTCTCTCCCTCTGCAACTCCAACCCACGACTGTGGTCTTTCCTTCCTTCTTCCTCTCTTAGCTCCCACTTATGAGTGAGGACATGTGGCATTTTTCCCTCTGTACCTGACTCATTTCACTTAAAATAATTTTCTGCAAACTCATTCATGTTGCTGCAAATGGCAAAATTTCATTCATTTTATGGCTGAGTAGTATTCCATTGTGTATATATACCATATTTTCTTTATGCAGTCACCTAACGATGTATAGTTAGTTTGGTTCCATATCTTGGCTATCATAAATAGAGCTGTGATGAACATGGGAGTGTAGGTATCCCTTCAAAATGATGATTTCCATTCCTTTGAATATATACTCAGTAGTGGGATTGTACAGCAGGCTGAACTAAGGAGGTCAGATTCATTTTGTTACATATGCAATAACTCGTGACTTTAGAAAAAAATCATTATTCAAAATGATATTATTTTAAGTATTATATATAAATTCACAAGTATACAAGTGATGTATTTTAGGTCCATGGATTAGGTAGCTCTTTAAGGACATTAAATGGCTACTGGAAAATTATTTTCCATAACAGTAAAGTGTGAAAAATAACACAGATTGAATTAAGAGACTAAAATTATACATAGACATAAAGAATTGATATAGCTTTTCATAACTCAGAGCAATATCTTCACCCTCTTCTCACTCCTAGGTGGTTATTGTAGTGCAGAAAACTAATCAGTCAAGGACGGAGCTTCAGAGTGTTGGTGTGATGGAAAGAAGGAAAGAGCAACAGACAAACCGGCACTTTGGTAATTGGCCACAGTCTTGCTACAAGCCCATGGTACCTTCCTCCACCCAGAATGAAGATGTCCCGGCAACTGAAAAAGTGATAGGCCTCCTGCTATCTGAGTTCTCTGCAGTGAACTCAGTCTCCTTGCATCACAAGAACGTCAGAAAGATCCTCTGATCCTTCCAGCTTTAGATTCTTTTCATTGACTAAATGTAGGAGACAGGCAAAAGCCAGAGGAATACAGAGGTTCTGAGCCATGAAGGAGAGCAACATAAGAAGGGTTTCAGATGACAGAGAAGTTCCCATGGAAGAAGCATAATCCAAAAGAGAGAATCGAGAGGCCTCACAGAGAGCCAGGAAGAAGAGACTTCCAGCCCAGGGGGTGAGGGAATAATCCACACTCAGAGCAAAGTGCCAGGAAGAAAACCATCCATCCCAGAATACCTTTTAAAAGAAGATTGGGACTCTAGCCCAGCATCAGACAGTGTATCCATAACTTAAGTATCAAATCTGTCCTTAACAGCTTCAACAGATGTTTGTCTGGAGCAATAGTCAGTAGCCTGACTCACCAATGGATCCTGGATCAATCAGTCAGGAGTGAAGACAAAAGTTTTGTAGGTTTTCCCTGAGTGTCCTGGCTGAGAGGCAAGGGGATACCATGATGAATTTGATCCTATCTGAGTTTCAGCATCAAAACTGTTAAAGAAAAGATTATTCAATAATACCTGTTGAAACACAATAAGGAAGACTTTATTCAGAACCTTCATGATAGGTATAGGGACCACTGCAATGGAGTAGAGTACAGAGATTGGGTTCAACTATGAATACAGTGTACACGAGTGGGAATTTTTAGCCAAGGCCCAGGGTGGAAATCAGTGGACAAAAAATTACAATGAGGAAACATTTAAGGTAAGGGGAATCCTGGCTAAACTGACCTAACAGGATTCTTGCTAAAGTCAAGCCAAGATGAACAGATATCACCTGGAGATGGTGAACGATGAGAAACCAAATCATATATCAAGGATGATCTGATATTGAGAGTGGATGGTCCTTGCTAAACTGACTTTATAGTGCTCTTTGTCAAACCTGGATTTTAAAAGGAGTACACAAATAGACCTACAAAAATGTTCAGAAGGCTGACTAAAGTTTGGCAAAGTAAAGTGTCTTTGTCAGGTTTAAAGTACATGTGATGCACACACACCCACATGCATATATATACATATACACATATACATATACATACATACATATATATATCAATTAATGTTCTTTATAAAAAATTTTCAAAAGTGATCGAACTCCCTCAGAAAATGAACTAACATATAATCAACCACACCCTATCTTGCATGAAGCATTTTAAACAATGTTTTTGTAAAAATGCAGAATCAAGCCACACATCACAGGGCTTGGCTACATTTTATATTTTGAAGCTCAGTGACCAGGAATATTTATTGAAATCACTGATACCTAACTGGAGAACATACCTATGTATTTAATAGGGAGAAAGTGAGTTTCTGCATTCCCAGATAGTCACAGGATTACTATGTAGAAGTAAAGTCAGTCTTTGTTTGGAAAATGTGACTGTATTGTTCATGTTTTCAGTAGAGATGCATAATGTGTCAATATGAAGGGGCCCCACCTGATTTATGAGAGCACACTCTAAAAATTCTATAGCAAACATACTGAAAGAAATGTACATTTCTCCTTTTTACCTTGTGTCTATTTTTTACTTTTTTTTTAATGACAAGTAAAAATTATTATAAACATTTATGATGTAAAACATGATGTTCTGGTGTACATTTCATTGTGGAATGACTAAATCAAGCTATTTCACATATGCATTACCACACTACTTTTTGGTAGTGAGAATAGAGAATTTAAAATATGCTCTCAGCAATAGTCAAGTACATAATACATGGCTATTAACTATAGTCTCAATGATGTACAATAGATCTCTTGAACTTATTTTTCCTGGTTAACTGAAATTTGGTGTTCTTTGACCAACATTTCCCCAATTCCTCCACTCCCCAGCCTCTGGTAAACACCATTTGACTTTCTATCTCTAAGAGTCTGACTTTTTTAGATGCCACATATAAGTGAGATTATACTATGTTTGTCTTTCTGTGCCTGGCTGATTTCACATAAAATAATGTTCTTCAGATTCATCCACATTGTCACAAATGACAGTGTTTCTTTCTTTTTTAAGGTCACATGGTATTCCTTTGTGTATATGTACCACATTTTCTGTATACATTTATCCACTGATGGACACATGTTGATTCCATATCTTGCCTATTTTGAATAGTGCTGCAATAAACATAAAAGTACAGATACATATAACTTGGACATACTAATTTCATATTCTTTACATACATATTGAGAAATAGAATTACTGAATCATATGATAGTTCTGTTTTTAACTATATGAGGAATCTCGATAGTGTTTCCCTGAAGGTCGTATCAATTCCCATTCCCACCAACAGTGTACTAGAGTTCCCTTTTCACCATGTCCTCACCAGCACTTGTTATCTTTTGTTATTTTCTTAATATAGCCATCCTAACAGGTGTGAGATACTATCTCATTGTGGTTTCAATTTGCATTTCCCTAATTAGGAATGTTGAGCATATTTTTATATATCCATTAGCCATTAGTATGTCTTCTTTTCAGAAATGTCTATTCAGATCCTTTGCCGATTATTTAACTGAATTTGGGCTTTGGTTTATTTTGGTGTGGTATTTTTATTGTTGTTTTGGTTTGGCTTGGTTTTAGCTATTGAGCTGTATGAATTCCTTATGTATTTTGGTTATTAAACCCTTGTCATATGTATGGTGTGCAAAT